AATCTTAGAATCTTGTTTACAAGTTCAAGATTAGAAAAAGATTTACCAAGTACTTTTAAACTATTGACGACATCCGTAAAACGGTTATATATGTCAATAATAGTTTCACTTGGTTCCATTCAAAATCATGCATCAAAAGATTTATTCTAGACTCTTTTACTCTATTCGTACCTTCATGAGTTACTTCTAGTATGCCAAATCTCGTGTGCAATTTCGTATAAAGAAACACAATTAAACTCATTTTTGCTCAAAGCATAAAATAGAGCGTTTATAGCTTTAGGATTTAAAGAGAAAGTTTTCTTCTCTAAATCATTTAATTCGTTCATTGGAGTAGAAGACTTTTGAAATACATTTTCGATAATATTTCATAAATTTAAATTAATAGAAAGCAAGAAAACACTCATTCGAGTTTTTCAATATGTGTAGTCCGTTCCATTGAACATAGGAGGATGAATAATAGAAAGTCCTTCTTGAAATCCGAAAAGAGCCATTTATCTTGAGTGTTAAACCAAATGAGAAAAAACGTGGCTCTGATATCAACTGTTACGATCAAGTCAGCACTAAGAGGGAGGGTGAATTAGTGCAGCAAATAAAAATCATGTCGAGTCAAAAATCTTTATAGGATGAAACTAGTTTCAGAAAGATATTAACTTGAAAGTGTATTCGTAAGGTAGTAAAAGTAATAATTTAGTTTACAATTAAAGTAAAGAGCAAAATAGAAATGTAAACTAGATTTTTATAGTAGTTCGGTCATCGTGACCTACATCCACTCTCGATTCCTCTTCACTCGAGGCCACCGGCTTCCACTACCGATCTTCTTTCAATGGGCAAAGATCAACTATCCTTTTACACCCTTCTTCTCCTTTTCACAGGATTAGGAGACAACCTTTTACAACCCTTTTTTACAAGGTATCCATCACACACCTCCCTTAGAACTCTCTCTAAGCTTTAGGAGGAGGGAACTCAACTTTCGAATAGGGTTTACAACTTTAGAATCACATATTTTTGCTCAACTTTCTTGCTATTCCATACAGGAATAGCTGGGGTATTTATAGACCCCAATTGGCTTAAAAAATAGAGCCAAAAAATATCTCATCCCGGGTTTTACAGGTCTTATCGGTGCCATCGCTTGTGCTTGGTGGTACCATTGCCTGCAGCACTGACACTAGGCAGTACCACCACCCAGACTGGTGGTACCATCGCTTGACAGTCTCGAAGACTATCTCGGTGGTACCACTACCTAGACTAGCGGTACCACTGCCTGACACAGTCTCGGAGATTGTGCCACCGATGGTTCCATCTGTTTGGTCACTGTTTGGGCCTTTCACTTGGCCTAACACAGCCCAATTGGCCGATAATTGAGTTGACCCAATTCCAACCCAATTACGCCTAAAACCTACTTCGATCTAGATAATTATTACAAAGCTAATCAAATGTTGTCCGGCATGTCATTAGTTCATTGATACCTCATCTGATTCTTCGTTGCATCATCCTCTCTTATGGCCTTTTGCCCAATTGGTTAGTTGACCTCCACAACTCCGATTTCCTTAGTGTAATTTCTGCTCTTCTTGGCCCAATGCCCGAACCCATAGCCCGAAACCTTCTGTCGATATATCGACTGATCCTCTGGCTCGACCTCCAATCTTCTGACATGTTCCACTCCGGCCCAACATGATTCTTTCTGCTTTTAATTGTCTCTCCCTGATTGAAGCTTCCTACATCACTCAAAACGTAGATCAGATCATAAATACTATCAATTGGTTTCATCATTACAATCTAAGATTCAACACCATATACACTAATGGGACTACGGAATCATTATCTAACATTAAGGTATCATCAACCATCCAGCATTCCGTAAGCGGATCAATAAGTGAACTCATTCTCCAAGGTGCACCTGCACTGCATCCTTAGTATTCTCACATGAGCAGCTATGAGACCAACCGCGTCCATCATATGGACGGGTATACAATACACCAGTCTATCAGGTTATCTTGATATCTCTCTCGAGTGACCTATGACTAGGATTCTTTAGGGTATATGTTTAAAAGTGAATCGGTCTCATTATCGTGATCTCATCACAATCTTATTCTCATTGCATAGATCCATGGACATCACAATGTATGCAACACGTAAGATAAAGTGATAAAATATCAAATAATGATAATAAGCAAAAAGAATACATGTCGAGTCACACGTGCCATCACTCACGTGGTTGGCTTACAAGGCATCTATGACTAGCAGCCACAACTGTCGTGGTGCCTGATCCACGGCTACTGCATGAGGTGCCGCAACCTAAAGATGTGTGGCTATTGCCCACATGATATGTGTAGGCATCGTCTACAACCATTTCACGAGGTGTGACCGCTGTAGTGTGTGGTTATTGCCTGTGCAAGGTGCAACCGCTTTTGTGTGTGGCTATCGCCTGTGCGAGGTGTCATAGCCACCGTGGTTCCTTATCCGCGGGTACTACACGAGGTGTCATAGCCTATGCTTGGACCAACTATCATGGTGCATAGCCACTGCTTATGCGAGGCACCGTAGGCATCATCTGCGGTCGCATGCCATTGTGCTGCGTAACCACCATAGCCATCATTGATAGTGGCACTGCTATAACCACCGCACACAGTGGTGCTATGCAGCTACTGCTTACGATTGGGAAAGCAACCACCAGAGGCTGCCACCCTCAATAATACTGTCACTGATAGCAAGCTATCGATAGTAGTCTATCGATCAAACCCTAGCATAGTATATGTGAGGTATAGCTCAATGGTGATTAAATGTTGTTACGAGTCCTCTAACTTCATCCATAGGTAACCCCTTCCTATTTGAGCCCCCTCATCATGTCTAACTACTAAGTCAACCTGAATACCAAATTTCAAGCATAAAAAACCATAATATGCTATTATTTTGTAAAAGACTTTTATGTCAAAATCTAAAATTAAATAATAATAGACCTCTAAATATTATGTTACGTATCTTTTTTATGCTTCTCAAAAAACTTTTTCTTTATATTATTCACATGACCATTATGATCAATGGATTTAGGGACAAAATAGAGATTAGAAAAGATACGTCGTCTTCATAAGAGAAGATATATAATCTCTCAATCATATCTTATACATCTCTTATTTATGTATCTGCATATCCATATATCTGCATATTATGTGTTTTGTGTTGTCAAAATGCTTAAGCTAAAGTTTATATAATAATATACTTATTAGACTCCTATAAGTCAATATTAATCTCACCCACTTTCGATGTGGGAGTAATCAATATTTTACGATCTCTCCCACTCAAGGGCTTGACGTCCTCATCAAGTCTCAACATAGCCTAGATCAAACTCCAGCATTGTGCATATAATGCACAGCTCAGTAGTGGTTCAATGTTGTTACGAGTCTTCTAACTTTATCTACAGGTTGCCCTTTCCTATTCGAGCCCTCTCACCATATCTAAATACTAAGTCAGCCCTAATACTAAATTTCAAGTATAAAAACCATAATATGTTATTATTTGATGGAAGACTTTTATGTTAAAATCTGAAGTCAAATAATAATATATCTCTAAATATTATGATGTGTGCCTATTCGATACTTCCAAAAAAACCTTTATTTGATCTGTAAGCGTCATTGGATTTGAGATATATAATGATGTCGATCTGCAAAGAAAATTAGACTCACATTTTCTTTATAGTCTTCACAGGGCCATTATGATCGATGGATTTAGGAACAAAAAGAAGATGAGATAAGATATGTAATCTTTCATTGACTGGTTCATGTGATTAAAGGGGGATAAGAGAATATCTGAATCTCTCAATATCTACACATATCCTTTTATTTATATATTTGTATATCCGTATATCTACATATTATATGTGTATAGTCCATAGAAAGTCCTATCTATTTATAGACAAGAGCATAGAATTTAAAATAAATAATTAAAAAAATCTCTCCTGATCATCAAAGTCATAATCAAAATTAGAATTCAATCATATTCACAATATATCTTAAATAGGATAACATAATCTTAAATTATAGAATCCGAATAATACAGAATCATGTGCTCTTATAATAAAATAATTCAAAATCCATACAAATTATGTGCTCTTATAATAAAATAATTCAAAATCTTTGTAGCAATTTGGAGATCATCGTCATCACGCTGCTACGGTGCTTGCCTTTGTTGTAAGATTAAACATAAGAACCAATGCCCCAATGATAAACCAAAAATGCTTATAAGAAGAAAAGGAATAATTTTTAATGGGCTAGACTTTATAACTTTAAGACATTTTTAATACTTCGTGTATACTTAGATGTTATTAACTTTGATTATGCCCTTGTTGATATTCTAGCCGAATTACTTTGATTATGTTGGTTACTTCTAAGATTTAGGGGTCTTATTTCAACCTCCAACACAACTCTATCATGATAGCTCAAGCGGCATTCAAATCGCTCATAACGAGAACGATTGTCATTTTATACGACATTATCTTCCACATGACAATTTGCAACTTTGCTCAATGAACTCTAACGATAAAACAACTAGCATATTTAGCAAACCATTATCATCACGACGATTTAGCTTCTTCATTAGTTTCTATTAAACCATCTTAACAATATGACATCAATAAAACATACAAGCTTTCTTCCGATTTTTATTTTTACCTTCACTTCTTTTGATCATCACGGTGCTACAGTGCTCGCCTGTCTTGTAAACGAGAGAAACAATGCGCAGATGACGAACCACTTGCAATCCTGTAGTAGTAATTCGATGAACTTTTAAGCTCACATCAAATGAAGACTCCAAACCAGAGGAATCACCAACCAGAAAACAACAGCAACTCATACTCTGTTGACGTAGAAAGGTGGCCCCTGAGAGTTCCAAAATGTGCTTCTCATGCTTCAAGCTCTTCACACACTGTCACTCCGATTTCGTGGAATAGAAAAGATCCCAAAGACGACCACCACCAGCCCCCCTGATATCCCAAGATTCTTCGAGCATGCATTCTAAAGACTACCTCTGAGTCCATTCAACTATATAACAACCACGACAGATGATTGATGGACCGTATGAGGTCGGCATCAACTGTCAATATTCATCACAGTTATATTTCAGAAAACAAAGGGTGGTACCAACAGAAATACCCTCGTAAAACTTCCATTCACGACAGCCCATCAGACTCCACAAAGTCCTTAAACTCACCGGTGGCCAGCCCGATCTATTTCCTCGAGTAGAAATGACAACTGATCCATTCATGGTTATCGCCCGCTAGGCTTTGGAGATTGGTGGTATGAAGAAGCATGTGCACCATGTGAAAGGCTCCTCATTGGCTGTTGGCCATTCCTTCCGAAGGAACCCTGGAGCTTCGATCCATTTCTCGCACCCAGGCTGTTGGAATGTGCCATGGCTCGTTCAGTTTGCATGGTCTGGAAGAAGTAGGAAGAGCTGGCCATGTCTTTAAGGTTAACAAGTGGTTTGAGGGCTTCCACAACCTCGCTCATCATCGGCCTTGCCTTGGAATCTCGACTGAGGCATGCATACGCAAGTTGGGATACTTTCTGGGCACCTTTCACAGAGAAGTTGCCTTCCAAACGTGGATCTATGAGTCTGTAAAAGCGCCGTCTTTCTCCAAGGTGGGGACGTGCCCACTCCACCAGGTTGTGCTCTCCATTCGGCCGGTTTTTGTCCATGGACCTTCGACCTGTCATCATTTCAAGCAGCACCACTCCAAAGCTGTAGACATCACTCTTTGATGTCAAATGCCCTGCAAACAAACAAGGATAGTCCAAGGATAATATCCAGAATGTTGAAGCAAGAATAAAAATACTGATATAGATCACTCAATCATTGAAGATTCATACCTAAATGAATGTGTATTATCTTAAACGGGTATGAGAAGCCACAAACATTTATAAAAGTAAAAAATATCTTACTAAAATCAACATGAAAGTAATTCCAGATAACCACCGCTGTTTCTTCAATTGAAGGATATGGTATTGAATAGAGAACTTGCCACACAAGTAGGCATATTTCTAGTTTGAGAAAGGAAACAAATTCCGACAACCTTGATGGATTAAGATCTTCTATAATCAATTTCCAAAAGAGGCATGATGACAAATGGAACATGGTCGTATATGTGAATGCTCAATCTTCTGCCACAAGGTGACCAACATTTCTCCGTCCACACAAAAGGTCTACCAAATAATCTCCTCAATTAGCTCTGGAGGCCAACTACGAATCTTTGCATTATACTCAAGATACCTGCTGAACATGTTCTCATGCATATTAAACTATTATTTCACATCTGCTGATATCTAATGGGAAGTTACTTCATCTATGTTTTCTTCCAAATCATTAAAATAAGTAGCACGCTAGAGTCAATCGACAATTTTGTTTGTCACAGATCTACAATAAGATTTAAAAATACAAATTAAAAAGGGAATGCAGGTGACTGCAAGTCCAAGGCAAAGAATATGCCTAGGGAGTTTATTTTTTCCATCCAAATGACTATATTACCTTCCAGGACCAGGCTTACATATTAATCCTCAGTGTTGCCATTTACAAAAATTCGGTGGAAGTTTTAAAATATATTTCAAGAAACAAAAATGGAGCAACAAGATGATACGTAATCTAGAGATGAGTGTACAATGGACGATCTGTACGGCCTACTTCTGTAGTGATCAGAAGATGAACTATCCAAACCGTGGATAAAGCAGTGAAAATTTATTAAAAGGATAACAATGTTGATAACATATTCCCTAAAAATGGCATTCTATAAACATTATTCAAAATGATTGAGCAAAAATGAAAAAACAAGAGAGATTTAATGAAGAGAGTTTTCAAGAATCATGCTGTAGCAACCAACCATCAGTTGTTTCAAGTAGAATCAGTGATGTAATTGCATGTGAAACATCTAATATAAAGTCCAAAAATAAATCAACCCAGAAAAAAAAAATCAATGATAAACTGACCTGTCATAACATATTCTGGAGCTGCATATCCATACGTCCCCATCACTCGGGTAGACACATGGGTTTTATCACCTTCAGGAGCATCTTTAGCAAGCCCAAAATCTGAGAGCTTTGCATTGTAATCCTGGACGCTTGAAGTTCAAGAAATGAGCCAATACCAAAAGGAAAAATGTAGATATATAGCATTTAAAACATACCACATCTAACAGAATATTAGAAGATTTAAAGTCACGATATATCACTGGTCTTTCAGCTTCCTCATGAAGAAAAGCAAGACCCTGTGCTGCTCCAAGTGCAATTCTTATTCTGATGGACCATGGTAAAGGAAGGGATCCTGTTGCAGATAGGATAAACAGTAGGAAAGATTATAAGATAATTCTCCAGATGCAACATATATATAGGTGAAAAACAGCAGCTTGAGATGAAACACAGAGAAAAGAAACTGTAAGTTCTCCAAAAGACTACATGAACAAAGCGAAAAAGAAAGTGATATAAACTGAGTGACGGATATATATATATATATATATATATATATATATATATATATATATATGTAGAGAGAGAGAGAGAGAGAGAGAGAGAGAGAGAGAGGATCCAGAGCAGTAATGAAGAGAAATTTATATGTAAAAGAGGGGCCAACATCCTTTAAAAAAATTAACAGGTTGGACAAGATTATCCACACCAATTCTTTTCATTGAACCAGATGCATAATCATGTCCTATCATATTAATACAGAGATTAGGCTCCACAGGTGAAGGAAATGAAGGGAACCAATAAAAATGGATTTTGTACAACCCATCCATGTTCTAACAGAAGAAATACTTCTACATTCATCTAGATCGACAAAAAGGTTCTTTACCCAAAATGGAAGACTGAGACAACAATATCAACTAGAACAGGAATTTCACAAAGATTTTTAGTTGTAAACTCATGTAAGAATTGACTATTTTCCTAACATTCATGTAGTTTGTCACCGAAACAAGAATACGCTGGAGAGAGATTTTGAGCACAGGCACCTATTAGGTCTCATATAATTTATTGCATCTAACAGAATCCATCCTAATGAAAAGGAGGAGAAATGATCTTCAATTTTTGACCTATGGAAATACCAGATGAAAGCCCACATTTAAATAAGGAAGTTGTTGTGAGCTTGTTACCAGTACTCAAGAAACAATGTTTATATTAAATCAGCAGAACACCAATTTGTCAAAATTTAATGAAACAATATGACATTATTTGTTTATAATGGAGCAGACAAGCTACAGAAGCATCCACCTTCACAGAACACAATAAGGTAACAGATCCTGAAGCAACAGCCAAGAACCTGCATAGCATGGATATAGACCTGACTAGAGATGGAAAATACAAAATATAGGGACACAAGACATAATGATGAATATATTTTATGATAATATTGTGGTAAGAGGATGACTTCAGCTTATATACGAAGTTGATCATCCTCTATGTAATTAGTATTACCTATATTTCACTGCTTTTAGACCTTGACTAGGAACAAGCCTAAATGAAGACTTAACACTGAAATATACGAAAGTAATAGCAGCATATCGACTAAACCCAAGGGCTTTAAATGCCATATGCTTCCCACATGCCTTCAACATGGACATAATATAGAGCTAACTATAATAGCACAAAATGAAACTCACCACTGATATATTAAACAATTAAAAGAAAGAAATGATTTGTCAGGTAAATTTCGACTTTCAACCAGGTTCAGGAAATAGTGATAGGATTCAACAAAAGAGAAAAGGCTTTCTTAATACATAAAACAGTTGGATATTGAAACAAACATAAAAGATCCAAGGCATGGTGAGTTGTATACTTCTGAAAAGATGGTTTTCCAAACTTCCACGAGGCATAAACTCATACACTAGCAATCTTTGATCATCTTCAATGCAATACCCGATCAACTTTACCAAATTCGGATGTTGAAGTTCACCAAGATAGTTAACTTCAGCCTGAAGGTAAATGAAAAGGAAATTACATCACAAATTTTCATCAACTAAGGACACATGGTAAGGAAAATATGCTTGTTACTCATTACTCAAAGCTAGTATTTTCTGAACAACGTACCAGCCATTCTCTATGACCTTGAAGACCATCATGGTTTAGGGTTTTGACTGCAACAGTAAGTCCTGTACCAGGTCTCACAGGAGCAGTTCCATTCTCCTCAATCCATCCCTTAAAGACACAACCAAATCCTCCCTCTCCAAGGAGGCTTTCTGGCCTAAAGTTTCTTGTTGCAGACTTGAGCTCATTGAAGGCGAACTTCCGCAATTGGGATGCAACCTTTAGATCCTCCCCTACCTTAGAAGCAGATGAACTGCTTTCAGCATTACTAGTGGTGGTAGAACCAGATGCTAGTGGAGCAACTGGCTGGTCCCTGCTACCATCATTTGTTGACTTACTTTCTGCAAGTCCATGCACAATTCAGTGTTAACTAATTGACATGCAGAATACAATGGAAAGCTATGAAAGGATAATCATGAGTAAGCATGTATGCCTAGAACAAATGTGAAATATAAACATATATACACCCTAGGGAAAAGAAAGTTTATAAAACCATAGATGTAAGTTAAGAAACTACAGTAGCCAATCATAATCATCCGGTGTATGAATGAGAAGAAACAGCAACTATATCTACGGAGGTGAAATGCAAGTATGTCATGTGTATCAAAGAAAACAAACATAATCTGAAGAACACCTACATTATGCGATTTTATTAAGCTTGTATTGCTGCATCTTTTTAAATTTTGACAAGTCCCATTACGGCCTATGAGCTATGGTAAGCAAATTATCAGAATACTTTCATAAGCATTGCAAACCATAGTAAGTTCAATTCTGCTGTTTTATTTGCCAGTGGAACTAAGTGTAGAGATGCTTCACTTTGAATGCTGACCGATCCAACCACCTTCATGTCAGTCACCTGAAAATCTTGGAAAATGGTTCCTACTGGGATCGCCAGCCAGCCAACAGGGCCTCAATTAGTTAAACAGCAGTTGAGGGATCCCATTAGATCTGCCATTAGGTCCTTCAAAGGAACGAAAAAGTAATGAAAATCTTAAAGCTCTCCTCTAGATTCTATGGCTGTATTACTTTGAAATTCCAACAAATCTAATAAAGAAATTCACCTAAGGATACCCATCACTACCATTACAATACAAGTTCTTAATCTATTCCAAAGAACCAGAATACAAAAGTGAATATATACCCATCTCAACAGACCTTCATAGGCAGCAATATGCCCTCAAATGGTTCACTTATCCATTAGACTCGTTAAATTCTAATAAAGGAGTATAAAATTAACTAAAAATCGCCATTATTTAACCATTAAACAAGAACTTCAGATCTTCTGCCATGCAGAAGTGAAGTTACTATGAAAAACAGTTAGCAAGAAAGAGTAAGTAAAAGTCAAGCTAAAGCAATAGATCACCTTGGGCTTCAACAATTTCTTATCCCTCTTAATTTCCTCTAAATATGCCTGCTTCAACCTAAAGATTTTGCAAATTCCATCAAATCCTGTTGCTTCTCACATAATTGTAGTAAACTTTAACATCCAACATGAGGATCTATCGTACATGGAGAGGGGTAAATTGTTGGGATATTGCAGCTTGTTGTTTTTGGAGAGGGAAAAATCCACAGACAAACTTGAAAGGTGTGTGTTTCATTCAAATACATGCATGCTAAAAACAATCTCATCAATCACAGAAGAAACTAACTGAAGTTGCAAGATGTGGAGCCTCCAAAATTAGGTGGCAAGTTAAGTTCAAAGTTAATACCTTCCTTTGACTGCAAACGCCACCTCTTTTTTTTTTTTACTGACTGGGCAGGAAAGCAATCGTTTTCCCAGATAATGCTCAGCAAACTAAATTATTGTTATGCAATAATCACCAAACGACAAGCATCATACAGAAGCATATCAGTACGAAATTAAGCAACATGCATTGCCTATCAAACCTCGTGCAGTACCGAGTAACAGTCCTCTTCACATTTTCTGCTGGGTATCGGATCATTTCTAGCAATAATTACCAAAAGACAAGCACCCAACCTAATAATAGAGATGGTCCAGTGGTACTAAAACAACAACAAGCCTATCCAGTGCCTATGAACGTCAAGCAACCCGGATCACAGATTAGTAACAGAGCATTGTGGGAGACCCAAGTCAAAGGTAAAATGCACAGGTGGCCTAAATATTACCGCACTGAGTGGTGGCGCTACTGATCGAAGTATCCACCTTGGCTCTGGAAGGGATGCAACCACCCATCAGGCGGAACTTCATCCAGCACCCTGTCTCTTCCCGCTTGCTACTGCTTCCCTCCTTCTTCTTCTTCTTCCTCCTCCTCCTCCTGTCCTTCCTCCCGATTCCCTCCTTGGTTGCTTCCCACGCTGCCAGGTGAGCCTCCTCTGGTCCCAAGCCCATCGCCAGGAAACCAAGCGGTTCGAAATCCACTCAGCACGCCAAAGATCCTCGCACAAGAAAGACCGCTCCTTCCACTGCCCGCAGGAAATAAATTTTAAAAAAAAGGCCTCAAAAAATCCCTCCTTTCTACCGGAAAAATACCACAGAATTGGGAACAAGAAAAAAACGAAAGAAATTGGAAGCGGACAAGGATTGGAACGGTAATCAAGGTGAAAACCGAGGAAAAAGGAGGAGGAATCGAGCAACAAACGGAGGGATCCGGCGAAGGAGGAGGCCTTCTCAGGAACCCTAGCGAGTAGGCTAAAAGAAGAGTGAGGGCAGGAGAGGAGGAAAAAGGAACTGGGGGCGGGCAGAGCGGGCAGTGGCGAGAAGTTCGAGAGAGGCGAAATCACGGGCAGGGCGGGCAGGAGGAATTTTAGCAGTGACAGAGGTGGGCGATGAGAGAGAGAGAGAGAGAGAGAGAGAGAG